AGGTGTTCGCATGTTATTTCTTTGAGGCAGGAGGACTTGTGAGCACAAGAAATTGCTGCACATCTAAGAGACAGAAAATATTTTATGTATGAAACTTCCTTCATACCTTGCTAATAATGTAAACTTTACTTTTAAAAGTTGGCAAGAATTCCTTCTGGTTCACGTTGAAGTTTCAAGCAGAGTAAAGGAAAGCCTAAGCTTACACCAACCCCTTGCTGTGATCAATTTCCTGTAGAACAGTTCTCAACCTTTGTTCTTCCACTTCAACTCCTACAAGCCCTAACCATTGGTTATATTGGCTGGGGATTCTGGGAATGAAAGTGCAAAACACCTGAAGGACCTGAAGTTTGAAACCACTGATGTAGTGCCATCCAATCTTTTAGCAGTTTCTATACCTCTCAGTAGATAACTGATGATATGCATAATATAGACATCATCTAAGTCAATAAATAAATGGATAACTGAGATTATGCAGCATTTAATTATCTTCCTGATCTTCTTCATCTTTTCTTCATTTTAATATGCCTCATATTAAATGAGATGGCCAGTGAAGAAAACAGATAGGAAGAAAATGCAGTAAGATCATTTGAGATGTGGTGCTATAAAAGAGTGCTGAGGAAATCGTGGACATCCAAGAAGTCAAACAAATGGGTTCTGGACCAGATCAAGCTGGAACTTTCTCTGGAAACCAAAATGACTAAATTCAGGCTGCTATACTTTGGCCACATCATGAGGAAAATGAATCATTAGAAAAGAATGATGCTAGGAAAGATGGAAGGCAATAGAAAGAGAGGAAGACTACATGCCACCTCAACATTAGGAGGCCCTTCCTGATAGTGAGAGTTGTTTGAAAGTGGAACACACTCCCTGAGTGTGATGGAGTCTCCTTCTTTGGAGGTTTTTAAGCAGAGGCTGGATGGCCATCTGTCGGGGATGCTTTAATTGGGAGTTCCTGCATGGCAGGGGGTTGGACTGGGTGGCCCTTGTGGTCTCTTCCAACTCTATGATTCTAAAAGTTTGTTTAAACCCTTTTTTATTCACTTTATCAAATTTATGGTAAGAGAAATTATAGCTGTCTTCTGAAACAATTTGGCCATTCTAAGCAATTAATTACATACTCAAAATACTGGTTCAGTAGGTGTAGAAATGCTGAGATTATAAAGTTGTTTTTCAGTTATTAATATTTGAGCAATATTGGCGTAGCAACACAGACCCACTTGTATACACACATAAAAAATAGTAGTTCAATAATGCCACCTATTGGTACAATGAGGAAATGAATGTTATAGAAAACAGAAAAATCTATTGTCAAATTAACAAGGAGATACACAACGGATGCTAACTTTTTTTTAAAAAAAAACGACTAAAGTGCAATGTGTATGACTTTGGGAAAAGAGAAAATTTTGTGCCTGATCACACATGAAGCCAGCCCATCCCTTAGTTATTTGAACTAAAAGTTTAGCCTTTGTAGTAGCAGGACCAGCTTTTATTGTTGCCTCTACTTTTTTTTATTAGCCTCTCCGCAAAAAATACTATGGGAGGAAAAAACCCTAGACAAGAAAGGGGGGGGGAATTATTT